GTGGTCCGTCCATAACATGACTGAGCACGTGATGATTGTGACGAAAAGACCGAAGTAGGTGGTTTTTCAATGGGTCCGATGGGTCTTTGGTAGACAGATCTTGGAACGTTATGACGAGCTTTGAACAAAACAAGATGACTAAGTTGATTGACACATGCCAATATCGATTTGATGTTGTGAAAAGCGGACATCCATGAAGCGGCGTGATCTTGGCTGTGCAGATGGCGTGATCTTGGGCGGCTTGGCCATTGGCATGCTGTGCCTTATAGTGACGGACTCAGCTACCTATTTTGGAGCTGCGGACTAGCTACAAAGCAGTGGTTTGTCCGACATGTTTCAGTCTTTGTATGTCAAGCTGTCTCGCTGTCTACATGTTTGCAGTCAGGGCGAAGTCAGTATACACAGTTCATCACAGTTCTATCTCATTGGCTTCAGATGACTGACTGGGACTATCTCGGACTTGTGGTTCTTGGGTCTCTTGAAATCTCTTGCCAAATCATGCCATCGATACTAGTTCCACAGGTAGCGTGAATCTAAGAAGCTTTGGTTCTGTGATGGATTTGTAGCTTTTGCAAGTCCTCGTTGTATAGCTTTTGCAAGTCCAATGATCGGTTCTGTCAAGAGTATGCTTCTCTTGATAGACTCCAAGACAAAGAAACGGGCAGACATGTGGATGTGCCATGAGTGTGCATGTCACAGTGATGGCGATGCACCCTTGCTGCCGCACGATGGCCTATAGCTATAGACCCAGTATGGAAGGACTAGACACAGTGATGACCGCGCCAAGATCGAGGATCTTCGACGTGCAACGTGCGCGCATCAGCTTCAGGCTTGCTTAGCTGCTTTACACGTACAGCTCTGGCCTTGGTGGCTCTCAAGTGCGTATACAGCAATGGCCTATTCAGTTTCTGGAACATCGTGCGTGATCAGTAATGACGACAATTCTTCAAGCACGTGCTCTTCACGGGTTTGCACAGATTTTGCACAGATTTGCACCCCCCAAAGATGGAGGATGTTTGACTTTCCAAGTGCTTTTTGAGACGTAAGTCATTACCTATATACATACGTTGCGTTTCAATTGGATCCTGCCTCTCAGAAATGCGAGCAAACATCCTGTTGTTTGCTTTCACAAGCTGACAGTCACATTGGAAAGTCGGCCATGAAAGCACTGAGAATGGCTTTGCAGCGGCTGCTGGGTCTTTGCTTAGCACAGGCCGGGTGCTCTTTCATAGACACAACAGTGTCAGTTATATTCTAATGTTTTTATAGGTTTTTGATGTGTTTGTAAGAGGGAGTAACTGAGTAGCCCCTTGGAGGTTCAGGGGTGTCCATGAACCAACCCCGACACGGGGGGCTGATATTATAGACGATGTCAATATATGTCAATCCCAATGTTGTCGTCAAAGGTCAAATACCCCAAGCCCCTTGCAAAGGAATCGCGCAAAGGAATCCCTGCTTGTGCGATTCACATGGCTGCGTGATTGGTTCTGAGATGTTGTGAGCAACACGCTTTCAAACACGCTCTCATCATGTTGAAATTCTTGGACTTGAACATATCAGCGGAAGACTTGGTGAACACCTACCGACTCAGTGGATAACCAGTTTAACCTTTTGGAGAGATTGGTTTCCTGCCTAAGAAAGTTCAACCTTTTTTATCCCGACAATTGGCTCCGGAATCAGAATTCCAATCATTTCCAATTGTTTTTTTGTTTAATCATCACTGCAGTCTACATGACGGAGTTTTGCCCGTCCAACAAATCACACGTGGGTATACCAGCAAGGGAACTTCGGTGAAGGTGTCGGAGTTCCACTGACCCACCGGTCGCACCTGTGCGAGGTGGGCGCTGTGTTTTGGATGCTGCTGCTGTGTGGCCGGCTCCTGGAAGCTGCTCGGGGACCTGGGCCACTGGGTGGTATATGGTGGTATGGCACTGATCGTTGCTTCTGATTCACGTCCAGGGTTGCAACAACGGTGGATGCATTGAGCACAGCAGGGCAGAGCATCCCAACCGCCAAATGCCCTGTTTCTTTACCTCAGACGGCCGACGACTGACCCGACGGTCGGCCCCCGGCATCGGACGGGTCCGCTGCAGGGGGCGTTGGAATCGTCGAGGCGTGGCACGCGGCCCGAATGCAACGTGCAACCGTTGCTGCGCGCTGGAATGGGGCAAAGGAGCGTGCTTTCGTGGTTTGTAATGTGTTTTTGTGATATTTTACTATACAGAACATGTATATTCAATATGGGCAAATACCATGGCAGTCAGTACCTTTTGTAAAAAGACACCTGGAACATCCTGGAGGCACCAGATTCTCGTGGATCTGAGAATCAACGTCACAGGACACAAGAACTTGCGTCATTTCACGTCCAAAGGCGTTGGACGTACGCCAACCAGGCGCTTTGATCAGCGAGCTCGACGACGGATGGTTTTCCAACAGGTCGGTGCCAGAGGCAGGGACCGGTGGCACCAGTGGTGCATGGTGCACTGGATTTGAAGTGGTAGACCTTTCCTCCCTGCTTCATGAATGAACAGTCGTCGACCTTAAAAAGTCTTGTAAATGGAGATTGTTATTCTGTGCTTCTCCTTTTCTTTTGTTTCTTCAGCTGTGGGTGAGCTTTTACGACTGCGATGGGTGCAGAGTGCAAGCAATCCTTGGAATGTTTGGTTGTCAATGTCAAGAATATTGGTTGTTGTTTTGAGGTGAGTATTCTATAATTCATGATAATTCTATTGCGATTCAGGCACCTCGAACCTGAATGAAGCGGTGAGTGTTTATTTTGCATGCCTTGTTTTTGTCGGGATGTTTTTGTTTGCTCCAAGATTCCAGATGGATCATGATCGCATGCGCGGGTTGCCTCCGATGTTCATACCGAATCCGCGAACGACCGGAATCGCTGCTCAGCGAGCCGCAGGTCGCAAGCGGCCGTGTGGTCACCTGTGGGAGGACTCGGCCGGTGTCGCCGAAGCAGCGAACAGGCCAATGCCAAACAGCTACTAGGAACAAGAAGCTGCTGCTTAATACGTTAAACGGGCTTTTCTTCGTTGTCACACATTTCTTGGAGCTCCGCTCCACCATTCCGAACGAGGACACACCTGTGAAGCGTCGCAAGCGATGCTAACTGGCCAAAGCTTGCCAGGGTGATTGATTGAGGCCAGGCCAGGCCCGCTGGTCAACCCCAGCATTTAATTTGCAACCTCCTTGTTTGGAGTTCCTACTGCTTCAGGAGATGGTTATGGTCGTCACACACATTTCGTACACTCTTTTTTGTTGCGCGAGAAGTGCAACAGATGCGGATTTCACACGAGTTCATGCTTCATTTCTTGGAAGGGATGCCAAACACTTCAGCTTGGCTGAACCAAGAGTATGGGGTGCTGACTCTTGGTTTTCAAAACGATAGAAGATCCTCCCACTCTTCCCCATCGATCAGCCGGCGCCACGTGTGGGACGCGATGTACAAAATCTCAACGTGCTGTGCGCACGAGCGACGAGGTCGCTTTCGGCCGTCGAGGTCTCCAGAACTTTCAGACAGATCTGGAGAGGAAGCCAATTCTATAGTCAATGACATCATGCAAATATGGAAGATGAAAATGAAGAATCCAACGACAATTAGAGGCCCAGAGGCAGCATATGATTTCCCGGACCTGCTGTGTTCTCAGCTTCGCTTGCCAACGGAGACGTTGGAAAACGGGATGGTCGTGCTCGATCGGTCTCCTGGTGCCATGACCCGCCGATGTCTTCGGCTCGACCCGCAACCACAGAGCTCGGGGTGGTTTTGAGTCCACAACGTGAGTGGAGAACAGGTACACCATGGTACACCGATCCGTTCGTGAAGAGCACCCCGACATGGGTCGTTTGCAGCTGCCCAACCACCTGGTGACTTGGAGGGTCTGTCGCATTGGCAGAAGACGGATATAGACGGATCAGATCCGCTGTGGACCGTGGAAGCTTTCTGGAAGCTTTTGGCCCAAGAAGCACCAGACGATCGATTTGTGTTGCTGTTGTTGGGCCCCAAGACATGCGGTGCTACCTGTTCCATCAAGTCGCAAGTGAAGTGAAATGTTTGTAATCTCGATCTCGACATTGATCAGCAACTCATGAACACGAATGGCTCAGCATGATGCTTCAAGAAATTCTGCAGTTTTTTTTCACACCTCGCTGAGCACTGCCGCTGGGTGCACTGCCCGCTGAGCCCAGGTGGGACTGGTGGGAGCGGAGGGTTTCTGGCTCGCCAAGCTGTGAGAAGCTTGAGCCAGTCAGTCTTTTTGTGCGAATATCAGGAGACTTCACAGCCGGTTTTGGCGAAGTCTTGCGTGTTGGTGGAAGTCTTTTGCGGTCTAGAAGTCTTGGTGTGTTTTGTGGTTTGACTGTTTCTTTGGAGTTGTGGGCAATGCAGCACTGGTCCAAGAGCAGACCATGGGAATCGCAGCATCAGCATGGCAACACCGTGCGAGTCTTAACATCGTTCTCGCACTCCATGGCTTCAGCATGCTTCAGCACAAATAGCTCGAGCTGCAGCCTGTGTTTCCAAGACGATTAATTAGAAGAGTCTAGCCAGAAAAGAACACAGAATAAAAAAGACAGCTTTTAGATTTCAGATGTTAGATATTGTGAATTGAAATCAATGATAGGCAATGAGAGTTTGACCATTCCTGTCCACCCAACTTGACACTTGCCACGTATCTTCTTGCCAGCAGGACACATTCCCATCACAACCAAGCACTGGTGGCCTTAGCCCTCCTCGCTGGGGTCATCCCCTCAGCTTGTTTATGGATCTGCACCTCCCCAGAATGGATCTTCATCAACTGTCATCTCCCCAAAAAAGCATCAGAAAGCTCTTCGTCTCGGGCACCAGCCACCCCCAGCCAGGCCAAGCACCAGGCCCAGCCATTCACTGCACCAGCCTGGCTCCCGTCCCCGTCCGAAAGCCCGCTGCGTCGTCCGTCCCCCGCATGGCCGACGCGGCGGGCGGATGGCGCTCGCTGGGCTATCAGCCCAATGCCATGACGGCCGCGCTGATCAGCGGCGTGGCGGGCGGATGCGCGCAGGCCGGGCGGTGGAGCTGGTGGATGCGGTGTGGAGAGGTCCGGCGTTGCGGCGATTTCAGTGATGGAGTGAGTGACAGACGAGTCAGGGGAGTGATACCTGCAGGTATGAACTTCTACCGCATGATATATGATCTGATTGGTGATTCGATGCTAAGTATAGATCTTAAAGGAGGATTCACCTACAGAAGGTGGCAACGTCGCATCACACATGAAATCCAGCCCAGAAGTGGTAGATTGCACTGTTCAAAAGAGTTGGATTGCAAGAGTTCCCGTGGTTTCCAATGCCCATGCCCCGGCGATGCGTTTCTAACGAAACCCGGCCATGCCACTTGCGGGACCAGGTGGAACGACACTTTCGCTCAGGTCATGTACATTGTTCCCTTGATGTGGCTTCGAACCATCATGGAATACCAGTACAAGCCGCTTGGGCGAGGTGCTTGAGAATTGAGAAGCACAGTTTGATGCACAGGTGGCTTGCCGTATGGAACGATCCTAGACTGGGTGCTCGGATTAACTGGTTTTGCATGGCAAAAACTTGTGCCAGATGAGGTTTGCCCTTGGGGGAAAGCTTGATTGTGCTGCTTTGGTGTATGTATGTTGTTGTTTGATGCGGTAAGTTAACCACGTCGGGTCGTATCAACCAAGTAACGTCAAGCAGACTAACAACCAGAATAGCAGGTGCGCATTCTTGTTTCATGGCATGAGGAATGGGCACACCATCAAAGAAGTGGCCAGCTCCCTCTACAAGGAAGGCGGCATTCGTCGCTTCTACCGTGGCTTTGTGCGTCTCGGCCAAGATGCTCTCCTCGGCGACGCCTCTCGAATTCGACACCGGACCTTGAGGGTGTTCATGGAACAAGCTGGAGGGAGGGTGCTCGGGCGATGTGGGGTTTTAAACGAATCATCCGAATTCCTTCGATCGAAGTTGAAGACGCTTTTGGTCCAAGTGCTTTGAATTTCTGTGTTCGTTTCTCAAAACGCCCTGTTTGCTTCCTTCCCACGCGAAGCACCTGAAACGCCACTCCAACCGCTTCGTTTCCCCACCGAGGCCGGCCATGCTGCTGGCGCCCACCGCGAGGTTTGGTGACACCGCCGCTTGGGAGATCGATGAGCCGAGCCGCGCCGGAAGGACGAACCGCGGCGGTGGTTTCGACTAGCATGTACTTGTCTAGGACTATAGTCCTATAGCATGAATAGTAGCATGTACTTGTATAGTATGTATATACATGCTACATCCCATTATACATATACTTTTTATATATATATATATAGGACTATCGATTATCACCATCTGAACTGGGTAGGTGCTGGTATAGACCGTATGCATCCGAAAAAGCATCGGTGTGGAGTGTTTTGCTATGTTTTGCTGAAGGGCCAAGTCAGATGACCATGTTGCGTCCTATAACCGGCCTGACCGGTTGACCGGTCTGTGTTTTTGCTCAGTGACGACTGTCACAACTTCCCATGCGCATCGGGAAGGAACCTTCTCGGACGATTGGTCGTTTCACAAGCGCATCCCCTTCCCACGAATCAAAGCACATGTGTGGCCAAGCCAAGCAGTTGGCTAAGTTAGTGCGGGACATCCCCTCTTCCCCACAAAACGAGGGTGTCGCCTTCACCTGGGTCCCAGGGACATGATATCGACATACATTGATCGACATCATGGGAACAGTTTACCTGGTGCATGTGGACCAAAGAGGAACACTCTTGGATTCATCCGAAACCAGGCTGCCAACGAGCTGGCGCTCTCTAGAGACTCGGTGTTGAGATGGTAAGCAAGTGTTTTGTTGGTATGTTGATATGTTGGTGGTGGTTTCAGATATCTATTTGGGTGTGTATTTTAATAGGGAGACCGGGGAGACCCCGGAAAGTCTCCCTATCAAAAAAAGAAAACAGACACCTATTTCAACCTTTACTTGGGATGATTCAATGATTCAACCCACTGACTCATATGTCTCATTTAAGTTGACACCACCAACACCACTGGCTCCAGTCTCGGTCTTTCTCTTCGAGATGTTTGATGCCTGGACCTTCGAAACAGTGGATCTTAGTGAGTCACAGTGGTTCTGAACCGAGTGGTGGCGAGTGAGGAAAACTTGAATCTGTGGTCCAAAAATCTCTGAAGTCCAAGCCTGGAGGTTTTGCATCCCGGAATTCTGCTGACTGGTGAAGATTCCAACCGTCCGGACGGTGGAAGACCGCTGCTCTTTCTCAGGTGTGAGTTCAGATTGATCGTACCTTTATCCAATGGAAAATAGTCATGTCATGCCCTTGTTACTACGAGAGAGAATCTACTAGTAGCAATGCCCCTATTACTAGTAGTTTCTTGTCACTAGTCACTAGTAGCGATGGCCTCCAACCTAATAGCGATGGCCTCCAACCTACTACCTTCTTTAAACTGAAGCCTCAGGGCAAAACTGCAGGCGATACGTGGTTTCGACCATTTCCCGCTACAACCTAATCCAGGGGTTCGGGGGAGTAGTGAAGTCAAGGAAGGTTGTGACATCCGGTCCCCAGACCTATATAGTCATGTGCAGACATAGGCAGACATAGTCAGACGTCAGACCATTCTTTCTCATATTCTCGACCATCCTGTCGGGGTCTCCTGAAGGGAAGATCCTGCACTTACTGCCGGCCGGGACCCAGCCACCCGGACTTCGCCACCCGGACGACCGGATGCTCCACTTCGGCAGTTTTTTTCACTTCGGGGAGCCTTAAAGTCTGTCTTCATCCAATGGGACGAGCTGAGGTCTATCGCATCTCGAGTGGCCTTTGGCCATGAAGACCTTTTGCCTCTTGGCTTCACAGTGGGCAGGTGTGGTGTGGCCCAGGATTGGGCGTGTGGACCAACTCAGCCGCAAATACTCCCGTACCACCATACCAACAGCTTCATGCCGCAGCTTTTTCCACCTGCTCCCGCCCTTCTACCGTGCACGCCACCGGCACCGTCAACCGGGTCCCCAGGGTCCCCAGGATCGATTCTCGCCGGTCCGGCGCGCCGTCCTTCGACTTCGCCTGTCAGGTGCGTCGGTGACGGCCGCCGGCTTTCGCGTGGCCATTTTGCCCTTGGACGCCTGGAAGGCTCGCGTCCGTCGCCGCCGTGGTCGGTGTAGGGGGGTCGGAGACGAAGTCGCTGGTGGTCGGTGTAGGATGGTGTAGGGAGAGTGATCCGTATTCTTGGGATGCTTGTTACGCGGGAGGTATTTGAGGGTAACAAAAGGGTATATGTGAACTCTTTGTTGAACTGTCATGTGTCCTTGGAGCTCCTAAAATGGGGTTCACCCTTGGGTGGTCCCATTTATTTTATGCCTAAGGGATGGCTTAATGAAGTCCTTGGGTCCTTGAATGGAAGCACACTAGGGCTTCAGTATGCTGAAGTTGTTGCTTTTTGGTTAACAACTTCAGTCAGATTCTATCAAGTTATATATATATATGATCCCCCACCGGTGTTCGCCAATAAAATGCCAATGCTTTTGCCCTATATTATGGCAAATTTGACCCTCATTTTATAGGCAACATGGGAGGCACACAGCCTGAATCTTGGTGCTTTTTTGAGGGTTTTGGAGGTACGAGGTCCACTTTGGCATGTTGTAAACTTTAAGGATTTTGAGGCTGTTAGGGTCAACGGGGCATTTTATAGGAGGATTGCATTTTCCTTAAATTGAGTGCTGGGACCTGGTCAGGGCCTTTTATAGGCAACTGGGTTCTTTCTGTTAGATGAGTGCAGGACCCAACAAGGGCATCTTATACACTACACAAGTTTTGTCAAATTATGTATAATATATAAGTTATCTATAATATATAAAACTAGCATATAAGTGTTGTCTTGTTTAATCGGAGTCCACATAATATAGACACATGTATGACATGCCGAACTCCAGATGGCCCTTCAGACACCAAGCGTCCGCAGTCCTTGAATGTTTCTTCCGTTCCACGGTCACCGGGGCGCCACGTGTGTCCCTGGGTCGATCGTGGGTGGATCACACGAGTCGTGCACGGCGCGAGGTCATGAAGCAGGTGCATGGCAAGGCCGGCGCCTGAGTGCCATGCGAAGCGGCGCGGAACGCGTCAAGCGGAACGCGTCAAGCGGAAGGCGTCGCGGGAACGTACGTGGAGAGAGTGACGTAGAACACTGAGGCTGGACTGGAGCATCTCATGCAGAAGGCGTGGGCGACGAGATTCTGTCATAGGATGAGACGGACAAGAAATTCATACCACCCTAAGGGGAGGTTAATGGACACCCCTTAACAGCTAAGGGGCTATAAATAGACAACCCTTGGAGGATACTGGTATAAGGAATGCAGAATCCTATATTACTTTTGATGAATTGTAGGCATATATTGTAGGCGATGTAGGTCAAAGCAACGGAAGACTGTGGACCCACAGATACCCATGGTCATGGGGAAAGGCACAGAAAGGCACGAACTGCTTTTGCACCCTCAACAGAATGAATCCATTGTTCCTGTTTCTAGTAGCGACTGTTCACTCATAACGTTGCAAACATTGGATAAGACAAGCATGGCATTTTCCTGACCTGACATTTTGCATGTTCACGTGATTGTTTACAGGAGTATGCCGCTTCATGATTATGTTGTTTCCAGTTTGTTCAGATATAAACAAGTAGCAATACATAATTACCTTACATTACCGACTTAGATTATATATAACTGCATGGTTATAAGTACTTGTTTGTATTATATATCATTAGAATTACTCGAAAAAAATGGGACACACTATCACTTCCGGCTGCGCGTTGCCCATCGGAACCGCGAGGCGCGGCAGAATCCCTTGGCGCTCTGGCATGGCGGTATGGGAGTGCTCTTCACCCAGGGCTTTGGCCACTACCAGTCGCTCGGTTTTTGAAGCAAAACTGGACATCAAATTGACATACGAAAAATGGGCAAGTGGCCGAGTCTAGCAGTGTCTTGGGGGGGCTCAAAAGAGGACACCATGGTGCACCTTGTTTGCCGTGGAATGAAGTGGAAACCGTGGTACACGGAGTGGCCCAGTGGATCCCTGTGGGCTGGGAGACTCGAGAGTGAGATCCTCACGCAACGAGCTGCCCAGCGTTCTTCAACCAATCCGGGGCGACTGGGGTCCGGACTGGGGTCCTGTGTCTCCATTCAAGATCTTGTTATCAGACAAGCAGACCACTTCGACATCCAAACGGACCAGTGGGTCATGGCACCTGGATCCCCTTTCACCAGCATAGGTTGACCTCCTCTATAGGGCCTCCCTTCTCTTCCAAATGCCTTCGCTCCAGGACGTTCCTGAGGGCTCGTGAAGCAGACATGCTGGCATCGGTGAATCGGTTGGTTGGTTCCTTTTAAACTCTCCTGGTCTGCACAGACAGTCCATAGACATGAATGGAAAAGAATCCCCATGGCAGAGGAACATGCTCTTGAGAAGGGGCATTGCACATGTACATCATGTAATGGTATGACTGGTGGGGTCGTGTATGACTGGCCAACTTGCAATCACCTCCAGACCGCTGCGGTCCGTGGCAGGTGGTTCTACACCAACAATCTCCTCCGGGAAACCGTGCCCGAATTCGACATGAGGAGCGACAAGCGGGGCTTTGCGAACGGCGCGCTGATGCGCTCGATGCGCTATGTGCAGTGTACTTGTGCCATCGAGTCGAACAAGTAGAAACAGTGCTTGAAACTGCAATTCGACTGGGCAGTTGTTATTCTTAGATTACATGTCACAGGTGCTTGGCAACTCTCCAACCAGCATTAGTCATTCGAACAGGGTTTTGAATTTGCCCAAAAGTGTTTGCATCACTTTGCATCTATCTCTTTCTCACCCCTGCAGGTATGGGAAACACGTGCGGAACGCCTTCATTGGATTCACTTCCTCTGTGGTGGCCGACACCTTGTGCAATCCCATCCGGGTACTGAAAGTGAACCGACAAACCTCCTTAACCCGGACAGGCTTTTGGGCGGCAGTTGATGGCATCGTTGGTGTCCGGACACAGATGTGTTCACTGGTTACTGGTTTGTTTCGTTGGGGCGCGTTTGAGTAAGTATATGCATTTAAACAAGTGGTGTTGTGTAGTATGCGTGAATGGCCATGAGATTTCTATGTTGGCGCTGTCACACAGAATCAGATTTCTTTGCTTGGCTCACTATTCCCACATTTCGATAGAGCCCAGGCTACATGGAGGCAGTCGCTTTTCTGCAAAGTCAGAAAGTTCAGACAAGCCATGACCACAATAGAGGAGCTGCCAGCATTTTCTGATGGTTCCCAAGGCCACGAAAGTAGGGATTGCTGATGATTGATGTACAATTGTATATATATATATAAATGTAAGTATGAATCTCATGCCCTTTGTAGTCTGCCAGTCCGCAGTGGCTCCAGCTGATTGTAGACTCCCAAAGATGGAAGATGGACCAAACATGAGTTTCCTTATAACTTTTTTCCCACCTGAACATCCGAGGCACGCGGCATCATTACGCAGGAGGGTTTCCTGGGGCTTTGGTCGCGAGGCGCGGGAGTAGGTTCACCGAGTTGTTCGTGGTCACAGACGGCAGTTCCAATGTGACAACATGGATGGTTGCAGTGCTGGCAAGGGTTTCAAGTTTCAAGCTAATTGGCATCTGTGATGTCCCCGTATATGTTCACATTTGATTGCAACAAAGGTCACAAATATATGATATGAAATTCATGAAATGATCCAATTTCATCCCTGTCGCTGCCGTGATTGGCAGCAAAAAACGCGCACACACACACATCACTTCTCATTCTTCCCCGCAACGAGCCCAACGAGCCGATGCGGCCGACGTGTCTGACGTGTCTGACCTGTACGGTGACTCCAGCGAGGTCTGAAGACTCGGATCTTAGCCAATGGCACCTGGGCATCCGGCCTTGTTCGGCGTCGGACCGCTTTTTGGTTGTGGCTGGAGGGGAGGAGGGGAGGGTTCAGCCAAGCGAAGGGATAGCGGGATAGCGTTTGAGGGGTCCGACAGCAGAAGCTTCCGACGGGACCGGTGTGGGGCCGTGAGGTGGGCTTTCGGCTGCAGACTGATGAATCATACCCCCGCAGACATGGATTGTTCATCCTCTTCAGCGGTTGAAATATATAATCAACCGTCTACATTAGCCACAGGTATACAGAGAAGTGAGAAGGCGGAGGTCCCCGAGGTGATTGGAAGATGTTGGAGCTGTGTTAGAGGATTGAGAATCAGTGTCCGATCACGTTTTCTTGAGGTATCCAAGGCTCTCTCTTCACAGTGGGCTGGAGATACTTCATGGACTTGTTTAATGCATTCAGGGCCGCAGCATGACGATGCATCTTGCTTGCAATGCTGCTGTGAGTCGTGAGTTGATGATCTGCTCGGCGAACCCATGAGCTGCAGCTCATGTGGGGCGATGACGGCGAACAGACGTTTAGCAGTTCTTCCCTGCCAAGGCCCTCAAATAGGTCACTTTGAAGGCCAATGTTGGTTTGCCTGAATAATGTCTATCAACATCCATAGCCGCCCATAGCTCCGTAATATATCATAATAGTCATCAATTATATATCATAGTATCATATAGTATCAAACCATGCAGTATTGTCCAAAAGACCTCGTCCTCTTTTTCAGGGCTCGTGATCAGGATGGAGAGGAAGATTGGCTGTGAGTTGGGTGTTTGGGTCCAAATGACATGTTTTCGACATGAGCAGCTTCAAAAACCTCTATGATGAAAAGTGTGCAAACTGTAATCTCACATTCTTTCGCGAAAGCCAAAACGCAGGTCGCGAAAGGTTCGCGAAAGCCCCGCGAAAGAACCCCAGAAGAACAGCGTCGCGAAAGCTTTCGCGAAAGTCGAATTTCTTGTGCATGTCGTGTTGTTTATGTGGGTGAACATATTTTTATGCAGGCAGCCGCAGCAGGCCAGCCAGCCAGCCAGTAACTTATATAGATCAATCACTTTATTGTACAATATCCCAATCGAATTTCCCAATCGAAAACGAATCGCCGCGAAAGCCGCCGCGAAAGCCCCACATAACACCACACCTTCCGCGAAAGCCAGAATGCAGGCCGCGAAAGCTCCGCGAAAGCTTTGCGAAATCAAACCTGGATTATACAAAAAAGTAATAGGGGTTTTCGAAGCTGCTCACATGTTTTCTCGGCGGAGTTGAACACTTTCACCATTTGTCACCTGTTCTGTTCGTTGACATCCGCTGTAAACAACCAAAATCCGTTAATTACATTGCTTGTGTTGGATGCGTATGACGCACTTATGGCGTACTCCTTTGCTTTCAAGGCAGCGGCTTTGCTGTTGTGGATGTGATGTACAAAGAGTTCCATCAACGCAGCAAGTGCTGAGCGAGCGTGGGCGTGAGCAGGTTCACTCATTTGAGCAACACAGCTCGTCGGCTCGTCGGGTTTCACTCCGTCGATCAGATGTTCTCATGTTGCACGATTGCTTCATATTGCATCCGAAAGCGGAGGGGAACTATTCCTAGTAGCATCCTCTTGCTCCTAGTAGTAAGGCCAGTAGCGTGCTTGCTCCTAGTAGCGATGCCCGACATGTTCCGTTCGTAGCGTTCTTGTTCCGCAAATGTTCGGCCGACGTGCCGCCGTTGATGGTTGGTTCCTGGTGGCTTGGGATGTGTGTGTGTGTGTGGAGCTACATGCACTCGGTCGTTTAGCCGGATCCTTGAAGATTCGGCAAGAAAATGGCCGACTCTTGCTAAAGCAGCTGTTCAGAAAGGCCATGAAAAGTCGACATTCATATACATTCATATCCACTTCGAACTTCTTGGTATTCTGCTGCATTCTTTTGCATTACTTCTTAGAATTGGCCCAGCAGCGCCGCACCGGAGCCACTGGCGAACCCACTGGCGACCGCCACTGGCGAACGCCACTGGCGAACGCCACCGGCGTGTCCCCTCCAAGGGGCACTGAAACCGCGGTTTCAACGCGGGCGCCCCAGAAAAGCGAGGACGTGCTTCAGAATAGGATCCCACAAGGATAGGATGATGGTCCGGATGGTGTATGTTTTTATATGTTTTTCTAGACTGGGTTCTAGGCTACCGGCTCGTCCGTATGGCTGTGAGGAGTACAAAAAAAAGCTAGACTGGGTTTGGCCAAACGGTTTCGTCGGTCAGGATGGATCGACCGTGGTCGACACCGGTCGGTCACGAGTTCCCGCGGTGCGCACGATCTGACATCTTCGACGAAGACGTGTCGGACTGGGTGCTGAATCGACGAAGACGCGTCGTCGATGGGTTCCGAAAGAGCTGCCATTGTTGGTTGTGATCATGAGTGCTATATATATATATATATATAGATGGTCACACACACACCCCACGACCCCCTTGCTTTGGGGGGGGTCGTGGGGGGGGGGGGGCTGAGCATATAAATATATAGAAGGTTGAAGTGAACATGTCCTTAAGCACAAGCTGTTTCTGCCTGGCACACTCCACTTCTCGTGACAAGCATTTGGGATCTGGCTTTCAGGTCGCTAGAACCGGGAGTGCTCGCTGGACCGACAGGAGGTTGGATGGGCAGGGAGTTCAGTTCGGGCCAAAGAACATTTAGAAGTAAGAATAATATTACTCCAAGAAGTCTTGGCTAAAATACTTTTTTGGTCCAAGAGATCATCTCATGCACCTCTCAACATTTGCTGCCAGATTCGGTTTGGCTTGAACTGCGACTTTTTTCTCACCATGCTCTACGGAATTAGACTCTCATTGGCCAGGATTCACTTGAGCAGTGTTTTTTTTTCATCGCCTTCGCGGAGGCTACGCGAGGCCGTTTTTATCCGCTTTTGCTGAAGGGTAGGCTACGCGCTGACCACGCGGTGAGGGGAACTCCGCGAGAGGCTACGCGAGGTCGCTTTTACTGCAGAGGTAGGCTATGCGGCGCCTACGTGTAATAGTTCCCCTACGCGAACGCTACGCAAAGCTATAAAACTGCAAACGTAGGCTTCGAGGTGGCTATGTCTGCACAAAAAAGAACGCTACTCACTTGGATCTACTACTATCATTATTCTGGCATAGGATTTACCTACTGCGCCAGAAATTGAGCGTTGACAACGGCCGCACTATTCTCAAGCAGTGTCGCTGGTTCGATGACTGCATGGTGCATGTTATCCTTCTTTGCACAAGCAAACTTTGATTTGGAGACTCATGTAAGGATCCTTTATCTATAGTTTTGTGTGCAGACACCATGTGGAGACTGTTTGTTCATGTCTTTACACAGCTCTGACTCACTCTACATGTTAAAACAAAGAAATTTCCGCGCGGTCTGCCAATGGACTGTGGCAGTCTCAGAGGTATTGCAGATGAAGTGGATTGTGGGATCTCTGCCTTTATCAATTGGGAGTTGACCCCGATCGGTGGTTCATTGAAAAGCTGTCCTGAAGACTTTGTGGTGGAGGAGTTGCTCGGAAGCAGCTGTCCTTTTTTGGAGATCCAATCCAACACCAATTTTAAAAATGGTAGTACTCCATAGTGGTAGATGGACTGCCAGAGCTAGTGTGCAAAACACTTGCCCGGAAGTCTGCTAGGTTCGGATTCCCAATTTTAACACGGTCAGCTAAGTCCACTTGGCTCAGTTAAGCTAAGTCCAATTGCTGAATACTTGCTAAGCCCTAGGGCTCCTGGATATATGATGAGAATAGACACTCGATGGGGGCATATCTTGAGGAAGGGATCATTCCAAAACCTATCCTCAGAACGGGTCCAGCCCATCCTCCTGAGATCTCCTGAGCCCTCCAGCTCATCTCATGTTTCATTGACTCTCCCATTCGGCCGATTCAAGCTGGTCAAGCTGATGTTTTCCAGCCAGACCGAAGTAGACAGGCCTGAGTGTCAGCTCCATGCCCTCACACAAGTGGCACTTCAGTCCAAGTGCAAGTGTACTCTGTGCACCAAGTGATAAGCCTGGCTAGCAGTTTTGTTGCGTTTGCATGCAGGAGGCTAAATATGGCTAAATGACATTCACGGATAAAGGTCTTAGCTTCATATATATATATATATATGCACAGCTGCCTATGCAGTGAATGATCCTGGCTTCACATGCTGGCAGGAGCTTGGGTGACCTGGTTCAATACACTATTGGCTTCAATTTGCAATTCCTCCTTCTTCAAGTTAGGAATCTTGAATGCTTAGCGATTATCTTTAAAACATTGCAATTCTTAGTGCATGGTAACCAAGAGGATTCTCCCAGCACGGGTTTCGAGCCCAAACCCATCCTCAAAACCTGATCTCAGCTCTGGAATGGGAAAACACATCCTCAGAGTGCACTTGGGAACTTAAGGAAGCAGAATTCAGTCCAACCTATAGAATTAGCTACCGAACCAAGTTCCGGGCAAGTTGTTTCCCGGTCTGTCAGTTTCTATGGTCAAGGCTTTTTGCGGGTGTGTTTTCTCCAGAGACCTATCGAAGGCTGCCTCTCGAAGATTTTGAGGAAGAAGCGTCTGACGCTTTGCCTTTCCTGCGATTTCGTTTGACCAAGCGCGGCCTAGATACCCTAGAGGCGGTGGATGCGTTGGCGAATGCATGTCACCTCTCCGCGCAGAAGTTCGGCTTCGCGGGGATCAAAGACTCCTTCGCTATCACCACGCAGGACGAGGGATCCGACCGGGTGATGGAGAAACGCAGCGTACCCTGCACACCAAGTGTGCACACCATCCTACCGGTCCAAATCAGCAACAATAACAGCTACTACTATGACGACGACTACTGCTACTAAAGCTGCTCCTACGACTACTAATACCACCACCACTGCTACTACTATCACAGTTACTATCACAACAACAACAACAACAACAACAACTACTACTACTACTACTACTACTACTACTACTACCACTGCTACCACTGCTACCACTGCTACACTTGCTACTTGCTGTTTCATTAATTGCCAAGTTGGGCAGGAGATCACCGTGGAGGCCTCCGCGATTTCTGAGGCGGCTCTACGCAACGTGGTGAAGGAGCATTTGCCCTACATGGAAGTGAACCACTTCCGTCGTTGTCCCAAAAGGTTGGTTCCGGGGCAACTGAAAGGAAACCGTTTCATCTTGCGTGTGCGAGGTGTCAGTCCCTCGGCGGTGCCAGCTGCGATGGAGTCCTTGCAGTCCAGGGGTTTCATCAACTATGTGGGCATGCAGCGATTTGGGAAAGGAGGTTTGCGCAGTGACCAGTTGGGCTTGGCTTATTTACAAAAAAACTATGAGCGTTGTGTGGACCTTCTCCTGCGCCAAGCCGGAGATGACACGGTGAGCCTGGGCCCGGGCCGTTTGCCCAAGTGGGCCGAGGTCTTCCGCCGCACCCACAGCGCGGACGCGGCCTTGCGGCGGCTGCCGGTGGAAGGTGTTTGGGCGGAACGGCGGCTCTTGCAGTCCTTGAAGCGGCGCCAAGAACTTGATGGCGGCACTGCCGGCGGCACTGCCGGCCGCATGGTGGGTCATGGGGCGCCCAAGAAGGGTGGTGAAGGCCTAGATCGGAGCGCGTGCAATGCGGCTAATTACATGACTATATATTATATACACATTTGACGACGCAACGCAGCTCGTTAACCTGACTAACAAGTCCCCAAACATCGCCAACATAGATCCATTATCTCCACTCCATGACGATGTTTCGGATCTCCACCAATAGCTATATCAAATATGTCGACCATTTTCGACTCCTCTTGTCAGCATCCAACCCTATAAATGGTGAGTTTTGACCTCTGCCTGGTGGAGGCAGCTGGCTAGAAGTCGCCAAGGAGGCTTTCTTGGCTTTGCCTCGCTCCATCCGTGCGCTCTACGCGCATAGCTACGTGGATCGGCTCTGGAATTTGGCAGCAACCGAGCGGATCACACGATATGGAGCAGAGCACCTCACAGAAGGAGATTTGATGTCTTCTGAGGGGAACTTCAGGCACGTGTGTGTGTGTGTGAGATTATTGAACATTTTTGGGTAGATAGGAGTTGCACGTCTTGAAGCCATGTTCAAAGACTTCTTGTTTTTGCTTATTCTTCGCAAACATCCACCGGTCACCTTGGCTGCAGGCTCCTAACTCCAACTGATGCCGTTGCAGATATTTTTCAGCTCCTCCTTCCACGTCCAGGCTCAGGCATGCAGCTGCCGGCGAACACCGTTGGCCACTTCATGCAGAGCTATTTGCAGTATGACAGCCTTCAATCTGAGGAGCTGAATCTAGAACAGCCTGGTGGCACCTGGTGGCAACTCACCGGCTGCATGCGTCCAGTGGTGGTGCGGCCACAGCAGTTCACTTGGCACCTGGAAGTCAACACCGACGAGCAGCCTGCGACTCTGATCCGTGCAGCTTGCAGCAATGGAAGCACGGAACCCGCCAGGGTCACTCGGGCGACGAACCACTTTAGCCGGGTCCGAGCAAAGAAGGAGGCATCCCAGGATTGATTAGTAGGTTTGGTCCATCCTTGAGTCTTGAAATCCCCGAACGCTTCACAATGCAAGTTTAAAAACGGTTGGTCGTCCTATTTTGAGAAGATGTTCTTTTGGTCCAGGTCCATCCAAGTCGTTGAAAAGCCCCAAGCTGAGGCACCAGGGTCAAATCTGATCTTGGACTTCCACTTGGGCCCTGGTCAATATGCCACCATGGCCATGCGCGAGGTGATGCGAGCACGGTCGGCCCCAACGCCTCGGCATATCGTTTTCAGCAGTTCGAGCGGTGACGACGTGGAACCGCGAGCGGAACGAACCGCGAAGCGCCGGACTTTGGAAAAGACGGTGGAACGCGCGAAGCCGCGCCGTGGAACCCATGAGCATCGGTTTCACTGAAACAGAGGTTGCTTTGCCTTGCTTCATTGCAAATTGACTTAGGAGATCTTAGGAGTGTGATAGTGTACCACGGTGACAGTGAAGATTTGATTAATAGACGTCATGAGCAGAATCTCTAGTGTTGGCTTCAATCCTTGGCTTCTTCTTTTGTTCTGTTTTTTCTTCGTTGGTCCAGATTCAATCGTTGGCTAACGAAGAAGCAAGTCCATGTCTTCCATGTGATTCCATATGACCAGGTCGGTCTACGGTCGCCCGTGTTCGATGAAGAACTGCATGTCGCCCGTGTTCTGAGCAAAAAAGAAGAACGCCATGAATGCCGTGAGAAGGGTATCGGATATTTGTGGAGTTTTTGTTGGAGCATTTTTAGTTTCTATAATATGTATGCATGTGTGTAGTTTGTTTAATGTGTGTTTTAGAAATATGACTACTGGAGTGGTAGCTGACTTGGCCCTCGATGGACTTCCGCAACGACTCAAGTTTATTCTTGACACAGACTCTTTCGAGCACTGCGTGTTTTAACTTTTTCAGTGGATGGACCCATGAAATTGCGTGAACGGATGTGTTGTTTGCTGTTCAGTGCATATAAATCCTATGTTTGCTGTGACTCAAGCTTGGAGCTTAAGCAAAAAACATAGAAGACATGTGCTAATGATGAGAAAAAAAGTATGACTTTTTGGAGCACTTACTACTAGTAGTAATTAAGCTCTTGATTAATGGAGACGCAAGTTGCGCAAGTGCAGGTGTGAGGTGTGATTGTTGTTTTTGCTTTGAACTAACATCGCCAGGGCCCGACGGCCGACGGCCCGCTCACCTGCGTCGGGCCCTTCCGGCAGTTCTGCCATTCGCTCCGGGGTCGCCGGAGCCATGCTTTCCTGCTGCAACAATGAAGCCTACCAACCGCTCGTGGGCAACCAAGTGGAAGGCCTGTGCTGGTTTTGCTGCTGGTTTTGCTGTCAATGGCAGGTCGATCGGATGTCTTTCGGTCGTCAACCAGGACTCATCAACAATTGTGAAAACACACACTTACTCATACAGGTGGAGAAGCAATACAGGTGTCTCCACCCCCTGCTGCATAAAAGTCTCCTAGAGAGGGAGGTTGACACACACACACACACACACATACACACCACCTTCTTCTGTGCTCAGAAAGCCTCACAGGTGGAACTTTGGACATTCTCCCGTCCAGGTGCCACCAGGGAAGGATCGTCGCGCAGTCTTCGAAGGGCTACGACCAATGCTGACATTGTGCAGTTTACTACATCGATGCCTGGATGCTGACATGTCCCCCATCGGGTTGTTGGACATCACCCGTTTTGTTGCTTCGATCGATCCACCATATCACCTTCGGGCGTGCAACAAGGTCAACTGACTATGCATATATATGTATGTATGCCGGATAGGAGCACCACCCAGTTCAGTACGTGGGCTCGGCCGAGGATCTACTACGTGGAGGAGAACGAGGGCAGCTTGGTGGTCGATGTGATGAGGCTTGGATCGATGAAGGGCACGGTGAAGGTGCGCTACCACACTGAGCCTTGCACCGAGGGAGAGGGGATTTCTGATCAAGACCACAGTGTGGCGGATGTGTTAAGCATGTCTAGGACGAGCATTAACAACAAAGATGTTTGTACTTAGTTGGAATCCTGTGGACCGTTCGACCTTTAGTTGGGAAACTTACCAAAGCACAGCTCTGAAGACAAAAGTATCATTAAATATACCTGGACCATCCAAAATGGGTGTCCTGTTTGGGCATCTCTAAGCAGTGTAGTCCAACCAGGACACCAAGACTGGATGGATCTGGTATACGAATATTTTACACATTATGGGACTCTCGGCATTTCTTGCAATCTGGAAAGAGACATGTAGACTGGCCTAAGATGAGCCGCAATCTTCTAACTGCCTATGGCCGGAGATCAAGTTGATTCTAGAGATTCCAGTGGCCGCCTTATGCGGTGTGCGTGTGTGTTTGTTTGTACGGAAAGTCATGGAACATCCAAAGTGAATCCCCAAGAGCTCGCACCTCGGGTGTTTGGAGCATGGGGGGGTCCTTAGTATGTTGTGATGCTGGAAAACCGATAGCCAGCAACAGCAGGGCATAGCAGGGCATATTGAAAGTATCCAAAAAGCGAAGCTCAGGAAGATGGTTCGGCCAAAGCCGGCATTTCATACGAAGAGACCTTTGGCGAGCTCATGTTCGAAGAGGATGAGCACCATGGGTTCAGCAGTTGAAACTCTTTGCATTTCGTTGGTGGGGCTTGTAAATCCTAAAAACTGACCCTTCGACACCTATTTCAACCAGACACCTATAGGCCGGTGTCCGCGGTTCGGAGCCGAAATAGGTGTCCCATCGCCCACGTATCGTACTTTGGTTTCCCCAAAGCCTCCAGCGGTCCCAATTGCAGCCGTGGAATGTGTCCAGCGTACGCGGTTGACCAAAAAGGATTCGTGTGCCATGGACGAAGGGTCACCGAAACCCTCCGAGGTACCGAAAGTCCATCGAAATCAACACCATCGAGAGTTTGTACTGGTCCGCCACCATGGAATTCAAGGCGTGGAGTTTAAGAACGAGCGACCGGTAGATGGATGGTAGATGGTAGCTAGCCATGTGTCTTTATTGTATACGATAATAATTGATAATATGGGGTCCGGTCCTCTATATATTGCCGTGCAACACGTATCCGGATCCGCCAGGTATGGGAGAATTCAGGTGTCTTGATGAGACAGACGACACGCCATTCCAAACAAAACAGACACACAAGTTCCACACAGACATCCACAAAGAAAGAAAACACAATTGTGAACAGACACAAACATCCACCAAGTTTCTTCAAAGAACCACGGGGCCACCACCGCAAGGCCCGGCCGCCCCACCGGGCCACGCGGTTCCGGTCCGCCAGGTGCGCCTGTCGGACCCTGAAGGATGCAACCTGGGCCGCTGGGACGAAGATCCGTGGGAGACGATGCAACCTCGGCCAGGTGACGAAGATCGCGGCTATACCAAGAGAGGTTAAGTGACCTGAACTAGGACCTTACTGGGGTACCAGACTGGGATAGGCTAGTTCGGGTCCTTCAACCTTTGTTGGTATATACCCTCCATGGAGGGAGACGCATGGAGCCCCCCAAAACCACGATGCACGCCCCAATGGAGCATGGTCTTCCAAGGAAATACGGTATGGGTCTCATTCTCCGGGTCCATGTCCTAGACACGACCTGTCTGGGACTGGCATATTTTGATACCTTGGGGTGGTTGAAATTCAGGGGGTCAATCTATATATAGGTAAATGGTCCCTTGGAGTGGTTGGGATGCATAATTCTTCACGACATGTTTTGGTGTGCCGGGTTAGACTTAGACGTGCTTGCTTGAAGACATAGTCGGAAATGGGTTTCAACATGTGGACAAGAAAGAGATAGATTGAGGGGTCCGTGACAAGACAAAAACTGATTCCTTTGGTTCCAATTTCTAGCAGATTGAACTCCCACACGGGTTTGCTTTGCCAAAATGCGCTGTCGCATTCGTCTCTCGTGTCAGCTGAGGCATTCATCTCCACAGCTGTCGGGTGAAGGTGATTGACAACGACACCTTTCCCTCGAACAAGTATCGAGAACAACTATTGACACTTGGCCCGACAGTCGCCAGACATTGCTGATTGTTTGTTTCATTCTTTATTATGTTTTAATCTGGGGTGCCACAAGGTCTAGTTTGTGGAGCTAGGTTGTACCGCAGCTGTAGTTCTCACTCCAACATACCACAGTCCTGAATATTATTGTTTAAAAGTTCGAGATCAAGATCCCTCAAAAAAAGACAGAGCATTTGGCCAAGGGCTCACTTGAAAAATTGATGAACATGGAGCAAAGACACACATTCAACTTCATGTTCTCAAATTGATTTGCCACTAGAGTCTTCGCCTGCGTGATGCTCAGGAAAGGTGAAGATGGTTTGGATGAGATCAGCAACTTGGCGTTGTTATGGCCAGGGTTGAGTGAGCGACGCCAAATCCATTGAATTGCGGAGAAAGACCATCCATATATATTATATAGGTGTGTATCGTGATGTATCATAGGCCACTTTGGTCAAGAAAGACGGTGTGTTCATGTGCCCACAACATCGTTTGATGGATAGTTGCTGCCATTGGATTTGTTTGGCTGGTGCCAAACAGCGAGGCAAGAGGCTTTGTACCAGAGCCAGACCAACCAGCTTCAGTGCAGGTCCATCCATGGCTTCACTGTAAGACACCGCAAAATGGATGCAGATCCAACATTTGCAAGCATTCCACCCAACCCGAAGTGCGCGGCACACAGACCAGTCAGTCCATGCTCAGACACCGTGTGGTGTTTGCCTTCAGCAAACGTCGCGGTCGACGGTCGGCCGTCGGCCCGGTCTCCGAAGGGCGGAGGCTCCGTTCCGGGCGGAGTTCCGTGGCTCCGAGGCGCTGCCGGGCTCTTCACGGAGTACTTCAAGTTGTCCCTTCGGCCGATGACCGATGACCGAGAAAGACCGAACCGACCGGAGATGCGAACCCGGTCCGTAGCGTTTGAGAAAGCGGAATGGGGCGTACCGTGGAAGATCTGAAGAAAACCAAGAGCAGTACCAAGAGCAATGAACAATTACTGTAAGATGATATAGAGCGGTAGGAAGCAACTGCTGTGACTAGCTACAGTATAATATGGCTTTTGGACTCAGGCAGCCATTCAGTCCTGTTTTTTGGGCGCTTGTCGTATGGGGCGATGCATCCAAACCATCCGTTTTCGGTGTATTCGCTTCGGTGTGTTCGATGCGTCACAGCATGTCACAGCGCTTGGAAGGTGCTTTCTGCAAGTTCCCAGTATTTCCTGGCGAACAGCTACCTGTTTGGTCTTCGATCAGATGAAGTGCCTCGGAGGTGGAACGGTACGGCCGGGGGTGAAGTCTGGAGGCCGAATTGAAGACCCAGCATGAGTTCGTGGAACACGGGTGGTGTAGTAGGGGTGGTGTGTGAAGAATTCACTTATAGCTATAATACAGAGGAACTCATCTAGGTGATGGTTTCGGATATCTTTTGGGGATGATTGGACCTTCTGACTACTATTTTTCAAGTGGACTGAAAACACCAACCAGTCATTATATAAACACGGCCAGTCATCTCAATGTGGCCATGCTGATTGGCCGTATGGGCCAGTATGTGTCATGAGTCATGATTGTTGTTTTGCAGAGGGTTGTTAAAAAGGCTCAATGGGGCCATTCCCAGGATGCCCAGGACTTGTTTGGTTTCTTTTTTACGTCAAAATCAATAAGGACATTTCCTGAGTAAATCAGAAGCGGCAAGGTTTGCGATCTCATTTGCTCAGCTGGCACGTCTTCTTTTGGTGGAATCCTTATTGTACCCAACAGTCCGGGTCAAGCCCGGTTTTGCTGCAACATGAACTAAGTGCAGTGGAGCTGCTTGGCTTGGATGTGTCTGTGGTTGTTAAATGGGTGACCGTGGGGAGCCAAGGAACATCTATCGCTACTTCACGCTGCTGGGCTTCATCTATCGACACTGGGAGCTCGCATTTACTGGGATGTTGTGCAAAACAAACCACATTGATCTCCTTTTTTTCTAGAGACTAGTCAAGATAACTGCACATGCGATGGCCATGTTAGTTGTGTTTGTAGTCTATCAGCATGCTTGGATGAACTGCTACCGTTCCCACTTCGGTATGGCATAGATTACTACAGGGTTTATCTTTCATGCATGATCACCCACAATGATATTTTGATGACAGATATTCCTGGAGTGATGATGTGATTCGATATGTATGAAAGATCTCATGTTTTGTTTGAATTCACTTCACCTGGCCTGTCTTCTTCACCTCAGGCTGTGTTTGAACATCTACATCGTGGACGTCCTCTTTAACTTGGATTCGGACACCGAGGATGAGCTTATCCGTCCCACCCGCGAGGAGACTGCGATCGTGGTGGGTGTGATCTATGTCGCTCCCATGATGGTGTTGCACCTTTGGGACATTCTGATGCTCGGTGTAGAAAGAAGAACCATAGCATTAAGGCTCGTCTTAGTGGGTTGAATTACGCTATATATGACAATAGAGATAGAATAGGAGCAACATATTAGTACCAATATGTAACAATAGCTCAATATCAAAAATAGCAACATAATATACTATCATATACTCATGTTTATCACATCATATCACATCATATCACTCTTTCCAGTTTCAAGTTTCCTCTCCCTGTGAATAGTGCTGAATCAAGTTGACTCTTCAAGACTATAGATGTCAGAATCCCATTTGTTTAGCTCATCGCTATTCTTGAATGCAGTGATTACTGAAGTGAGCATCCGTAAGGAAGGCAAAAATGGATTTAGTTGGGCATCTTCGCTTGCGCCCGCCTCAGCTGCAAGAGCTGGGTTGTTGTTGTTTTTTTTTAGCCAGGCCCCAAGGTGTTGAAGATGGAAAAGGAAACAGATGCAGCACATCAAGCTGTTATGATGTGTAGTATTTTTGTGTGGTATGTGTTGCTTGTTGGTTGATCCTAATCTAAATGGCATGACAGATGTGTGGTATGATCATCAAGGATCAGCAAAACCACACTGTTGTGACACACATAAAAAGCGAGTTGATCAAGAGGCACAAACACACTGTTGGGACATGTTGGACAGTTGATTGTAAAAAGCAATCGATGCTGATTTGAACAGCTGTTGGCAGGTATTTGCAAGCAAGCCTGTTTCGACGATATCTCAACTACAGTCTCTCAGCTGCAATAATCACTTGCCTACCGAGTATAGACAAAAATACGTTTGACAGCGGAACAGACCTACCAAGTATGTTAAACAATCCCAGACATTGGGGTGGTTTTGGGGGTCAATGTAGGCATATATGGCATACATGGAGTGTTTGGGAATTATGTATCCAAAAACACCCAGAATGGTTGCAACGGCCCCTTGAGTTTCATTTCCACCGGAGTTCCTGTTGAGCATCATTCATACCAAGGCACATGCCTTTGCCTGTCTCATGATATATTCAATCATCTCATCTGAACGAGATGCTCCATGCCTTTCCCACACATCTGATTCAACCTCCGCATCCCTTTCCAACCACCCGCTACCGCGTGTCTCTCTGTGAAAACTATACCCTCATGTGTCTCTCCTTGTGTCGAGTGCATGGAATCCTGCGCGGGCTCAGGTGAGGAATCCCGGGCGTCGGTGCCGCCCCCGGATATGCAACACGCCTTGACCTTGGGGTGCGAAGGTGCAGCACGAGGATACATGACGCTTGGCATGCCCAAAGTATTTGGGGATAGACTGGGATAGTTCTCTTTATTGGTTTCGGAGGGTTCACTCGGACCAGCTTCGAATTGCTATCAATACTGAGCATGGCCAGGGATCGCATGTTCGACTTCTTTGGGAATGAACATGAATGAACGGATCTCAACAGGCTGCCAGGGCAGCGACTCCAGCGCGATCGAAATCGCTTCCAGGGCCGGCTCGGGTCCCTGGACAGGTTCACGATGCTTCACGGGGGTCCGAACCACTAGGAGGACGGTGCTTGTGGCACCTGGCAAGACGGAACGACAGCAGAGCCCACACAGAGCCCTCCCTTTGGCCTTTCTGTTTTGAGACGCCATGGCGCCGCCGCCGTTGGATTTCAAGGTTATCTCGAGTGTCTTATTGATGGACCACCTACTGAAGCCTGTAGTTGCCCTAACGGCCCTAAGTGGATTGGCTGTTTGCTCGCCCAGGAAGGTTCTTGATTTGTTCCAAAAGCTTGGACAGCCGCCTGGCCGAAACTTTTTGCTCTTTTGTTGGTTTTCTTGTTTTTCTGACGACACTTCTTGAAACCTTTCAGTAAAAGAGTCGGTGTGTGTGCTTCTGTTTGTTTATGGACCAGTATGGCATGGAAGAGTCAGGTTTGAACGCCTTAGGTTGGCAGTGTTCACCTACTTCACGCTACTCTCCAATCCGGGCGCCATTTACTTGATCATGGCGATGCCATCACTGATGCTGCTCTTCTTGACGTGCCTTGACAACCTCCATACTTCGTCGCGACGCGCTGGAAAGACCGTCCCAGTGCGTCTCGAGCTCCCAGATCCAATGGGAGGGAATAGGAAGAATATACCCCAGAGGCTCCGGACTGGAATATTTGCTTACACTGACCCCTCAAACCACCCCCAATGTCGGCGGGAAATATGCCAGTCCGGAGCGTTTGGGTACCTACAAGTCAATCAGTCACGTTTTCAGGTCGATGCTTTTGTAACTCCAGTCCCATGAGCCATTGGTGTTTCTCGCCAGTCCCACACCTCCGAGGATGTGGAGCTGAAAATGCTTGGAGCTCCGATGATGTGTTTGAACATCTTCGACCAACTTCAGGGTCCACTTCGTAATGCGTCTCCAAATATGATACATTTCAGACTCAAAGCTCAAACACCTGGATGCCTGGATGGCACCTTTGTGCTTGGCACCAGCTGGGCAAACCCATGGCATTCATCCCAAAACATGATCCCACACCCAAAAAACAAAACACATCAAACAACGCCACTGCCACCGCCGGAAGCCCAAAGAAGCCGCGGGCCGCGCGCCAAACAACAGCGCGCGCTGTAGTCGTGCTCGTGCGTGCGCTTGGACCCGCCAGGTGTCAGTCCTGGAAGTCCTGCTGTTCCACCGACGCGTCCCAGCGCAAGAACACGGAGGCAGCGGTGCTGAGCCTGGCCGCCGAGGTGTGCCAGCGCTATCGCTTGATCGCGGCCCCTTGGTGGACGAGCTGGCTTAGACCGGTGGCGAAGACCGGTGGCGAAGACTGGAGGGCGGTGGCAGAGAAGGAGGGAAGTTGCTGTGAGTTTCAGTCACTGTTAGTGTCTAGAAGGATATAATGAGTCAAAGGAACACTAGTACATACAAGCACTGTAATTGATGGGAAGAGCTCATGTAACCTTCTCACTATGTCCATCTGTGATTACAGCACCACTCTAGAGCCTCAGGGTGGCACCAGAAGGAATTATGAAAGACATCTATGCCGCGTCCATGCCAAAGGACCGACATGTTGAGCAAACATCACACCTCTCGTTGAACACCGAGGTCACCCCGTTATATAACTAGTTGGCCCAATGGATAGTGAATGGATTGAAGAGTACCAGCAATTCACAGGTCTTCACATGTCACCAATTGAGACCCGTGAAGTTCTTTAGTTCCCGTTTCGCACAACCTGTGACAAGCTGTAGAGTGGGTGCTGGGCTTCAGATAGTAAATTCGGGCTTGTCTAAGAGGTGAACTGGCCACAAATTCTCATACACTCCCGAAAACTAACATAGACCCTGACAATGGTCCCATGGAAGACTATTTTCCTCTACCAACCAGGGGTTTTCAGGTTCCATGGCTAGTCTTCCAGGGTATATTATATACCCTGCCTGATATTTTTTTTGGTTTGATCCCCCTCACTGACCACCTTAATTACACTGGCAATTTGGAACCTGAAAACCACTGGGTTGTCGAGGAAAATCGTCTTCCAAAGGTCCATGTTCATCCATTTTCAGGTTCATTTTTCCCGGGTGTACATGTTGTTTTTCCTTCAAATGCCGTTCATCTCAAGGACTACTTCCAAAGGCCTCAAATGAACGAGATCTTTGCGCGGAAGACGGACGAGCTGCGCCGGCAATCGGTGCCCGAGTCCATCGAAGCGGTGAACAACGAAGCTGAGCGTGGTTTGTTTCGTTTTGGGGCGAAGAATGGATGATGGTGCGCTTGTTTTTGTTTGCATTTTTTTCCGAACAGGGAAAGATGGATGAAGATAGTGATGAAGATATATTGGATGAATTGTTCTCTATTTGAGCGGGTGAATCAAGTGGTTTTGTGTTGCGGAGTCAAAATGGTTTGTCTATATATAGTCTGTTTATTTTCCTTTGCAGGTTCCTGAAATGCAGATCCAAGGAGTATTTTCCCAAGTGGCTGGGGCCACTCTTCGTTGGAGTCTACATTGTGGCCCGCCGTGAAGTCCACTTTCATGGGCAGAGAGGAATTTGTGTGATTTTGTCTTGGTTCCTACTGGCGAGATATAAGGGTGTTCTTTATTCCAGATCACAGAATCAACACTTTTAACCGTAGAATACCTGTTCAATCTCTTCAAGTGGCTGGGAAGAGATGTGTAGTGAGATCCATGAAATGTGGCACACGATTGGTCTTTTGACCCGGCGGTAGAATAAATCGGAGTACGGTTGGCGGGATTCAGACAATTCAGAAGTTCGGTGTGCGTTCCTTCCAGCACCAGCAAATCAAAGAATTCACGCACATACTTGCTGTTTTGCAACCAGTCTCAGTCAGGCTGTCTATGCCCACAGCGTGTTTTCCAATGCCATCTCGTTGGGTACTTTCCTCGCGACCATTGGCATCATGAAGGACATCAGTTCGGAATTTGCAGAGGCCCTTTCCGACCTATCTTCCCGTGTTTCCTCAGAGACACGAGAAGATGACCATATTTTTTTGCACTTGACTGGCGCCGGACATAGACCGACTCCCTTCGGAATCGCTTCCGGAACCGTCTTGTTTAAGCAACCTGTTGCCTTTTTTCCATGCACCGTCTCATCAACCGGATGTATTTCCGCCGACCCGCGCCCGCTGCCCGAAGCAAGTCGCGTACGGGCGTACGTACGGAGGCGTACGAGATCATTTTGGAGCTCACAGACACCTTTGGATCCATCCAACATTTGACAGCGTCCCAACTGCGATTGACGGTGTCGCCTCGCGTCGGGTGCGTCCTAGCGCGTAGGGAGCAGTACGCCGTAGCCTCGCACCATGGCGTAGCAGTCTTTGAAGGCTAAAGCTTCAGTGAGCGCCATGTTTTCAGGAGAGCTTCCAGGAATTTTAACAGTGAACAGAACTTTTACTGCTTGCCCACCCGAAAGTGTGGCAGCATCATGCAGCATAGATGTCAATGTTGGCACCTGTTCCAGTGGAAACTGAGCATCATCCATTGGTTCAATTGGCTTGGTAGTCCGGGATCATTGGGGATCAGTACGATGATTTTTTCGCAGTGGTGCTGGAAGCTTTTTTTGGAACAGATTCCAAAAAACTAAAGACTTGGCATCACTCGTGATGGCCTCCAGAGTGATGTCCTCCAACCTCTTGATGGCGCGTCGCATGCCATTTGCGCCTCAATAGACGGTCTTGACCGGTGGAGTCGAATGGAGTCGGGCGGAACGGCACGGAGAGACCGGCACGTGTTTGTTTTTTCCAGGCGGTCTCAACGGCATGTGCCGATGTCAATTAGACATCCCCAAAACTGAGAGACAATCTCTTAGGTTCTTACATGTTCTTACAGGATCTTTAGGCGTTAATATGTATCCTTTTCCAGGTCACTTCACTAACTTCTCTTGGCAACATTCGCAGTGGAAAGCCATGTTTTGGTGATTCGGAAGACACTTGCCGTCCAACGGGCCATGCCGCTTCTGTTTCAGGGAGCATGCACATCACTTGCACTATACCATGTAAATCATATATACCCTGCCGGTCGTCGACCATTCTAAAAAAGGCTGTTGACAGACCGACATTTTTATCAAGCAACCGCCATTTTTTGGTGGGTTTTTGAAGACCTGTGCTTTGCTCCGCTATCTCTTTTGCTCAGAAATCTTCGTTAAGCTTCACTTTACACTTATAGTCGATAAAGAGTTTCAATTAACTTACCAAGCTAGCCCTGGTGGGGCAATTGCCACGACAACAGGGGCCTACCCTATTTATAGCACCTGCTTGGCACCATGTGCCACTCTGATGGCCTGACTGGCCGTGTGGAGATGGTGGAGCTGGTCACGACTGCGTTTGGGCCTCATCTAACTCCCCAAGGCCTTTCCTGTCCGACCAATCTGCTCTTTCAGGCCCACAGATGCCTTTGACGTCCAAGAGGAGTCTTTTGAAGAGTTAGATCCTGAGATGATTCCTCTGGTCTTGTTGGGTATCTGGGTTCTCTCAAGCCTCCTTCGCTAAGGGCTTCATGAAGACAATGAAGATGAGCGATTGGGAGGATTCGACAATCCACCAGGCTGGATCCAATATCTAGGGGGTGGAGGTTCTGGATGTTTTTTTGACAAAAACAATACCCTTAA